AACACTTGAAGCAAGGACAAAAGGCCTTAAAATAAAATGGACGCAGTGCAGCATTAAATAAAAATATATATATATATGTATTTATATAAAGCAGAAARAGAAATCACGAATGCGTCATAAAAACTCTGCACATCAATGCGCAGCCAGAGGGGACCGGAGGAGGAGGAAGAAAGCCGAGGGTAGAGGCAGAGACAGAAAAGCGCGGCCACTTTGAGAGCGCAGCGCAGCTAACAAAGTCCTGGCTAAAAAAAATTATAAGAGAGAAGAGAAGTAAAAAATTGTATATGTATGTGTATAAAATGAGCTGCCAGTGCTCTGCTCAGCTAAGAGCACTTGAGAGAATACAGCAAAAAGTGCCAAACGGATGGTTGGCTGACGGGGGGAGAGTAAGTTGGGGGCAGGGCAACAGAATTGAAGGGTCAGCGTGAACAACGCTTTTATTGCACTTTTTTCTGGCTGGCAACTGGGTGAGTGCGCAACCCCCAATGGCAGTTGCCTCATTTGCTGATGGATTAGTCAAAGTGCAGCAGAGGAAGACAGAGAGATAGAGAAAAAGAGAGAGAGAGAGGGAGGGAGGGAGGCTGGGTGACCACAAGGATGGGAGTCTCAGGGTCAAGAGACTGTTTGCCAGTGGCTGCCCCTGGGCTAGCAATTTGCAGCATTGCAGTTACGTTTCTCTTCTTTTTCTGTTGTTGCATCATTAAAGCCGCCACAAGTTGCCTTCGCACGCACAGCACAAAATTTTGATTGATGATTGAATGCAACAGCAGCAACAACGGCAGCACCAGCAACTGATGAGCAACAGCTGCTTAATGATCAACGCAAATGGCAAAAACGGAAATAATTTCAAGTTTTGCATTAACGCTTTTTGCCAGTTGCCAATTTCTCGCTCTTAAGGTCCCACGCAATGGRWAGAGTATGCAAATTTATACCCTGTACCATGTCTATTAATATATATTCTGCTTTAGCTTTAATTACATTTACGTTTGATTCAGTAAAGCATTTGAATCGTAACGTGTTTGCTCTGGCGCTGCATTTTCCCACACTTTTCACATTAATTGCAATCGGAACGGACGGAGGTTTGTGTGTTTTATTTTTAGCAAGCCTTTTGCATGTCGCTCATTAAGCGCACTCTTCCTTCCTGCTCTCGCCCTCTTCCCTTCCACTTTTTGTGCCCACTCGCTTATTTATTTACTTTGAAGCCAGTTGTTTGTTCAGTTGCTTTTTTGTGTGATTCGTTTGAAGCTTGGAAAATTGCAATTGAATTGGATCAAAAAATCTGTCAATATATGCGCTGTGGAAGCTGCGCCCCCGTCCAAACAACAAATATTTGTTACCAAATTAGCAGCAGCTGCYGCTGCTGCTGGTTTGAAGCATTCAAAAGCTCGCTCACTTGTCCAGTTATTTGCATGTCGTTCGTCCGTCTCTCTTTTTCATTCATGTTAATGCATAATTCAGCCTCAGCGCTCGAGTTTGTTTTTAACAGCTGTTATTAAGTCTGCTCGTTAACAGCCATTTGACAACTTCAATGTTAGTCAAGAAAAACGAATGACGACTAACGAAAAACTTAATTAGCGGCTTTGGCCAGCAAAATGTAGTAACTGGATATTTGGTTTTTAATGTGTATTGTATATACGCTTGTTAGTTAGTTGCTCGCATTTAAATATTTAATTAAGTTTTTCGTTTTTCAAAAATAAAGAAAAWGAGACTTCAAGCATTTGCATAACACAAGAAATTGAAACAACATTTTCAACAGCTGCCGCACAACAAGTTGTCGAGAGTTAAGATTTTCAGCAAACATCGTTTTACACCAAAGCAGCGCAGCAACAGCAGTAGAGGCAGAAATAACTGTTCTTATCAGCAGCGCCCTGAAATCAGTTTCAAAGCTTTTCGTCGCATGCCCGCATACTTGCGGCCAACAGCTGCTGCTGCCTCTGTCGCTGCCGCTGCCTCTGCTCTGCTGCCGCTCAAGTTCTGCAATCTTTTGGTTACTTACATCAAGTGTCAAATTATCTAAGTCGCTTGCTCTTCTTCTCCACTATCTCGCTCTCCCTCCCTCTGGGGCAGCCAAGAGCTTTGGGTTTGGTTTCGTTGCCCACTTTAAGCTCACACCGAAACTTACGCATTGTTTGTCTAATTAATTAGCGAACTCATTCAGGCGCTGTAATTGTTGACATTATTTACTTTCTTTTCTTTTTGCTGAGAGGCGGCAGCTGCGGCCAAAGAAATTACTTGTGGAGAGAGCAAGAGAGAAAGAGAGCGCAGTGTTAACAGTTATGCAAATGCATTACATTACGAAAAGGCAGCGTTGCCAGAATTTTATTTCTTCTTTTGTCTTTGTTGCTCCAGCTTTATGAGCTCATCTGCAATTCGCAGTATTAATCAATAAATAAAACGAAGCGACATGGTCAGGGCCATTCTATATACGACATACAGACATATGCATATGTGWATTTATTTATGTTCGTATACATATGTATGTATATCAAACATGCAAGAAACTTGTCGCTTCTGCAACAATATTTTCCCACAGCTGCCCACACTCTCTCACAGCTTTCAAATGCCATAACAAAAGGAAGGGGAGCAGCGCGAGCGAGGGAGGAGAGCATCATCGTTATTGTGTAGAAATATATTTAAAACATGTTTAAAAATGTATAAATTAAGCGCAGCTCAGCTCGCCTAAGCAAAGTCAAATGCAAATTAGTTAACGCTGATTCTGTAGGCGTTCCAGGTAGAGGCGTGTGTGTGTGTGTGTGTGTGTGTATTTGCTTAATTATATATGGGTTTTAGTTATAAATGCCGCATTACCATTACCAAATGTATTTCCACTGCTGAAAATGCAGCGCAAGCGGAAATAAAAGCAAAACAAATGCAGACGGCACCAGCAGCAGCAACAGCAACAGCAACAACAACATGCACTACAAACATCATCAACAACAACAACAAAACCCACAAGCAATAGCAAACAGCTGAGCAAGCAGCTAAGGCACTGGCAAAACGTTGATAATGACAACGAGGCGACGCTGCCGTCGTCGACGTCGCTGCTTTTTTCTCTACTTTTGTGTGGTTTAATGACCTTGCCCAAGTTGCGCCTCTCTCGTATACGCTTGCACATACCCTCACTCAGTCACACACACTTACACTCACTCACACTCACACTCTCCCATTGCTGCTGCTCCCCTGCCAAGCTTTCTGCCGACGCCAGCGTCAGCAGCGCCGCGCCATGTGGTCGAACGAGCGAGGCGCTGTCGATGTTCGTGCCCAAATTTAATTTTATGCGCGCTTCACACGTTGTCGTCGCTGCCTGCCCCCGCCCCCTTCCTCCTAAAGCTTCCACTGCTAACAGTTGATTGGCCGTCGCCGTCGTCGTCGTCGTCGCTGTCGTCGTAGTCCAATTTTATTTTTAAACTATTTTGAGAAGTGTTTCGAGAATTGTGTCAAGTGTACGACGCCCAAAAATAAAAAAATATATAAAAAAGTTCATGCTGCTGCTGGCGTCGCCGGCGCAGCTGATGATGAAATCTTTGCGTGTGGGCGTCTCGCGCTCGTCGTTTTCGACCCTAACCTATTCAATCTGTTTCGTGCATTAAAAGCTCATAAAAAGTGACAATCAAAATTGTCGTTAAGCTCCATAAAATACAGAGAACATTGAGATGCAGCGCGACCGACCGACCACAAAGAACAATCGAATTAGGGCCTAAAACAAACAAAACTTGCCATATCTATGCTATATATGTATATGTGGATATATATGTACATATATACATAATTTCATGTTCCAATGCGTGAGAGCATATAAAATTTTATGTTTTATACTTAAAAATAGTCGCATGTTGGCCTTTCTTTATGGCTGTGTTTAAATTTATGGCACACAGCACAAAGTCAATGACATGTGGGCTGGGTGGGGCAGGGCAAGAGTGGGGGCCCAGATCAAGTGGCTGGGGGTATTCTCTTGACAGCTGGACATATGACGCATTGGGGGGCTAGCATACAGTTGACCTTAGCAACAAAAACAAGTGAAGAGGTACTAATATAATACTCAAAGATGACTAATTAGATGAATGGATTATTATGGGGGAACATTTCCTTAAAAGTGCTACGACAGGTATTTTTAGAGTTATTTAAAGAGAATTGAGTTTTAAGCAGGAAATACGATTAATTTAGAATTTATTTGAGAGGAGTATTACTGAAATATAACTCTTAGAAGAATATAATTTTTATGGAATATTTATTTTTTTATTTAGTTAAAATATATATATATTTGCTATCGTGCTGTCGCTGTTTTATCTGATATTTCCCACGCTACTCTTGCATATAATTTGTAATCAGACAATACCAGTTCTACGTATTATAGAATTGTTTAAATGATATTTCTAGTTTCTTTAATATATTCTTATTTCGTACTCTGTCTCTTGAGTCGAACCGTAAGGCATGCTGCAAATGAGCAGTGAACCAGTTCCATGAGCTGAATCARATATGRAACTACTGTGTATAATCCATACGGTATACTTTTATTAGTTTCTTAGTCTTATGAAAGTCACCAAGAGATATTTTTTATAGTTTTACTGCAGCTGCCTTAAGCTAGATACCAAAGGCCATCTAAAAACTAATCTTTACCAAAAACTTGAAACTTTTATGAACTACACAATCTCCGCTGGCTGTATAAAAGTAACTGTAATCAAGTTGTTTAGGTAGTTCTCTATACATATATACATGTATATATATTATATACATATATANATTTTTTGGGGGCAATTGCAAAAGTTATCCTCGCCCCCAATTCATTCACTCGTTCGCTTCGTTCGTTCATTTGCAGTTGTTGTCACGTTTTGTTGCCTGCCCCTGTTTTGGGGCAATGTCTCTGCGGTGCGGCATTGTCGTCATCGCCTGCTTGTGGCATGCCACAAGCTCAGCGTTCCAATTGCCTGCAGTTGCAGTTTCTATGTCGACTTGGCTGCTGCTCGCTGTCAGCCAAACAAAACAAAAATAAATAAATAGAAAAGGAAAGAATACAGAAAAAGAAAAACGAAAAATAAAATAAAATCATAAATAAATACTTACAAAACTCATATCAAAGTGTAGGTAACAGCAACAGCAACAACAACAACAACAACATGAGCAGCTATGAGAGTGAACTCTTTTGTGGCATGTCTGGGCAGTAGATTACGTTGTTGTTGTTGCTTTGGCTGCTGCTACTGCTGCTGATGATGACAACACGTTGACAAGCAGCAGCAACAGCAACAGCAGCCACAAGAAAAGCACACAAAAGTAATGCGCGACAGAAAGCAAATAATAACACCAAGTATGTGGACTATAAGTGAGCCAGCTTGGCTTTGAGATACCCCGTAATTTGTTTAGTTGTCAAACGATAGTCACTAACTATTTTCCATGGGATTCAATAGACTTCTTTATATATGAGAAGCGCCAAGAAGGGCTGTGCAATGCCAGACTTATCTCGGTAAAGAAATACTGATGTCAAGTAAGATGGACTGTGAAGTATTTTATCCTTCTCTAGGTTTAAGTAGGATTCCTGTTTCTTGCTCAATAATTACTCACATATTCAGCATACCCCATGCGCGTCTTTTGAAATGTACAGGGCATATAAATGCATAGAGTAATAAAAGGGAAAAACTCTCGGCAATGACAACAAACAAGTTGATGTTGTAATTTGGCGCGTGGTTTTTCTCTCTTATATTTTTTCTTAGTTGTTGTTGTTGCCGCCTTTGTCAAGGTTGCATTTTCATTTGCAATTTGTTGAAGTATGTGTGTGTGTGTGCTGCTGCTTGTCAAGCTGCCTGCCAACGCCAACGCCGCCCCTTGCACACCCACTCCACTCTCAGCCAACACGCCGCATGCCCCACAAAGCATGCGTCAGAAGCCGTGAGCAATTTGTATGCCCTGTATGCAGAAAATTGTCTATACGGGGTATGCCTTACTTAAGCAACGGCGGGCAGCATTAGCCTAATTATGCAATTTTATTTGCTCAATAAAAGAGCTAACAGCAAATTAAATTTCCATTTCATTTCTATAAATGGCCGACAGCTTGTACAGGGTATCTGTGCGTGTATCATTGTTCTCTTTCTGCATTTACCTGATTCTCCGCAGCTTTGCTAATTTAAGCTAGCTAATTTTGTATTCATTGTCAAGTTGCACAATTTGTATAAAAAACATTGCAACACTTAGTTCCCAGGCCAAAAGGGAATTCTACAGAGAATATTTATAGAATTCCAATTGGACTTGGAAACATTCTCAAACAATCTCGAATTTCTCACGCTGTTTGCGAGACTATTGGGAACTCATTTTTTTATGACAATCATATATCAAATTTCCATTTCATTCGATTTCCAGCTGATTTATGATCATTTGCGTGGAAGATTACCAAATAGGGTCTGATGGACTGCAACCCCTTTTAAATGGCTGGCTTTTCAGTTGCAAGAGTGAGAGGGAGAGAGAGAGGGGGGCAGAGAATGAGTGAGATAAAGTAAGTTCAATGCACTCGCAGCGCACACGTTAAAAGTAAATAATCAAATACGAATTAGTCATTTGATGCCCCAAAAAGAGAAAAAACTCATACAATATATATGTATATATTTATTTCTACGTCTGTACGTTTGTGTATATATAAACAGGCAGCAGTAACTGCAAAAAAAAGAACAACAAAGTGGAATGACAAACATCGCAATTGCACGTTTGTAGAGAGCGCGCAGCAAGAATTCGGTCTTGAGCTATATTCATTTCTCATGATGAATCAAAGCAAATCGCTCAATCGAGCAAGTCATGTAAATGTCATTATAAGACTGCGCAAATCCAGAGACTTCGAAAAGTAATTTCTCTGCAGTTTCTCTTTTTTTGTAAGAAATGATAAAATGGCCATGAAAATGATAAAAACATAGAGAAATATTTTATGTAGACTCTTCGAAAAATTTTTTGGAAATTGTTCATGCAAGAA